TTTAGAATTGTCGAGTAGGAATCAGTACAGTCGAGTACAAATACTGCCTATTTCAGACTTTTATGACTAAAATCAGCAAAGACCAATCGAAACAACATCTGATTTAAAAATTTAATAACACTTTTAGATATTTAGATTATATATTGGCTCTCAATAATGACGACTTCAGTATGTACACTAAAGAGATTTATCCTGCCGAAATGACTTTAAATAAAGCTAATACTAACAATGAACACTGCCCTTTCCTGGATCTTGATATCTTTATCATTAACGGGAAACTTAATACCAAAATTTATAATAAAAGAGATGATTTATCATTTCATATTGTTAATTATTCATTTTTAGATGGTGATGTTCCCTTGTCGCCATCTTATGGTGTTTAAATATCTCAACTTGTTCGATTCGCTTGAGTATGTAACAACGTATTTGATTTCAACGAAAGAAATCTCTGTATTACTGAAAAATTATTACACCAGTGTTTTCGAGATCACAAACTAGTCAAATCATTTACTAAATTTTATCATCGGTACAAGGACATCATTCGTAAATATAATTCAACATGCAGACATCTTATACGTTCAGGTATTTCACATCAAATATTTTATGGTAATATTCTTTACAAAGCACAAAAATGTCGGCATTCACCAAACCTTTAAACAGACTTATTCGAAAAGGATATAGTTACGATATTGTTGTCAAGTCATTAAGGATTGCATATTTTCGTATTAATATTGATTCACTCATAGGGTCTTTGCATCGAAAATAAACACATTTATTCTAAAACCAGTTGTTGGCATGATACGGGTTATGTTCTTCTCATATATTTTATGATGGTATGATATTAAACCCCTAACGGGATGGATTGTACTTGATTTTCATATGATGAAGACATAATCTTTCAATCAGTTTAATTGAGGTTTGGAGCTGGCATGTCAGTAACTGCTAGTAGTCCTTTGTTTATTTATGTATCATTGTCATTTTGCTTAGTTTCTTTTGTTACCTATTTTGACATCGGACTCGGGCTTCTTTTAAACTGAGTTTTACTGTGCGTATTGCTATGTGTTTCTTTTTTCTACATTGGCTAGAGGTATAGGGGGAGGGTTAAGATCTCACAAAACATGTTAAACCCCGCCGCATTTTTGCACATGTCCCAACTCAGGAGCCTCTGGCCGTTGTTAGTCTTGTATGTTTTTTAATATTAGTTCATTTATATGTTTTGGAGTTTAGTGTGACGTCCATTTTCACTGAACAAGTACACAATTTTATTTAGGGACCAGCTGAGGATCACCTCCGGGTGCGGGATTTTCTGGCTGCATTGAAGACCCATTGGTGGCCTTCGGCTGTTGTCTGCTCTTTGGTCGGGTTGTTGTCTCTTTGACATATTCCACATTTCCATTCTCAATTTTATTATTTGACTGGTTTGTAGTGTATGGAATTTCGCGTCGCCTGACAATATTTGCAACTTTGCATACAGTCTATCTCTGTTGATTCGATTGTTATAGTTATACTTCTCAATTTAATAATTGTCAGGTTTTTACATTGATAAACAATAAATAAGTCAACAACAGTACACGACATTAAATATCATGATGTTAAACGTCGAATATAATGCTTAATGACTTTATATTTTTTAAGTTATATGTAACAATTTAATTATTTCATAATTTCTATTTTAAGACTCATCATGAACACAAATCACAGTAACCAAGAAATTGACGACGGTGAAACTATTTATGGAATGAGAAAAATTACTTTCTTGGAAAAACACGGGGTTAAACGATTTCCATATCGTGGAAGGCGTAGATACACACCATTAGTCTACCAGTCTGTAGACGGAGGGATAATTATCTCAAATGATGTTTTCGGATTGACAATCAGACAGTTTGAGCGAATGTTTAAAGATTGTTTAGATAGAAGAAAAACAAAAGAACAGTGGATACTAAACCTAAGATATCCTGACAAGTCTTCAAATGAATATCTGGAATACTTACAGAACTGTACAGACTGCGATAAAGGTATTTGTTTTGATTAAAATGAATAATTGCAGGAGTGTACTAGAGTTTGATGTTCCACAAATTAAGACAAATTCTAAACGGAAGGGGGGATAACAAGTTTGGAATCGAGGACCATAATACAGAGACATACAGAGTCGATCAGGAGTCTATAATTCAGTTTTTGTCTTTTGTTGTTATTTACAGGTCGTTGGTTATTTCGTTTGAATTGTTTTACATTTGTCTTTTCGGAGTCTTAATAGATTTTCTATTCGGTAAGACTTTAGTTCATTGTTGAAGGCCATAGGGCGACCTATAGTCGCTAGCATCTTCATCATTTGGTCTCTGGTGAAAAAATTGTCTTGATGGCAATCATACCACATCTTCTTATTTTTGCATAGACATCGTCATGACTAAAACGAGACAGACAAAGAGACAAAAACAGTTCACAAAATATTACATAGAAAACTAAGGACCGGGGAACACGCGTATCCAAACGAAAGCAAGGGTGAAGTCTGTTGTACCGATGTGTAACAATTCCCTTATCTAACATAGGCCTCATTGCTAATGATTTTATACTTTTTCTATCCAGAATTTAACAATTCCTGCTCTACTTAACGCCATGCTGTTCTTGTGAAGATAAAAATTGGTTAGAAGTCGTATTAATTTATCAAAAATATATGACCAGTGAACAGCATCATCTTGTTGATCATATAAATAACGTTTACAAGTAAAAACTGTTATAAGCGGATGATGTTTTTTCCTTGAAAGAGAAAGAATTGAATGTTAATCTACTATAGATTTGGAAGACTTTAAATGTTCTAAAGATGTCACGATTACGTTTGCTAAAAAAGCGTAACAATAGGCGGAACAAGGATTTTGAAAACTATTGATTGATCGACTGTTGGTTGAAAAACGTCCAGCGGCAAATATTTCATGTACGTTCAAGACGAGAACAAATTTACAATAAATAAAGAAGGTATGTCCTGTATTAGAGGCCGCCTGTTTTGTTTTCTCAATCTTTGTTGAGATCATCCCTAGTTTGTGTGTAGGTTCTTGTTGGTCAGTTGTTACTTTTCAATGTGACATTGTATAGGCTGTTGTAAGTCTTTTTATTGTTTTTCATTTTTTTTGACTACTGAGGTAATTTTAGCCTCCATTAATTGTTGTCCTTTTGGAAGTGGTATTGACGAAGTGCTCGAATATGAATTATGTATTGATGTGGTACGGCTAAGTATTTTTATGATTAACTTAATCATTAACCTACACATATTCAGACAGTTTAACATGGAATACTTGACCATGCATGTTAACTAAACATTTTGTTTTATGAGTTGCTCATATTATGTTTTGCAATGAGAGTACAGTTTCCACTATGAGCAGCTACAACGAATACTATATTTGGTTGCAAGTGGTTGAAACAACAATTCGACACTTGCATTTGATACGGAGGTTAAAAAAGAGTTCAGATTAAAAAAAACGAATAATACTGTATTTGTCTTTGCTATAAAACTGTTAACATTTTAACTACAAAGTCAGCAAATGCTACTGAATATTCACTTGTAGTTATTCAATTAAAAGAAGAACAAGACATAAACGATAATGAACACATGTGTATTGATAGGGTGATCGAAGGATTTAAAAATCATTTTTTGTACAAAATATTTCAACAAAGCAAACAAAACAAACCTATAAAAAATATAAATTTGAATGTCAGCTCAAAATTTCTGTGTAGCACCTTAACAGCAGTTTAACAGCATTGACAGAGTCAATTTTTTTTACAAAATAACGACAAATCAAATGTATAATGTACACAAACTAATTTTCGCGAGTGATTTAATATCGTGACTTAATAACGCGAATATAAATCGTCGCGAATTATGTTAAACGATGTAGAAAATTAAAAAGAATGCTAAAAATAAATCGCCGCGAAATTGACTAGGAAGGGTTAAATAAAGGAAACAGTAGTATACCGGTGTTCAAAAGTCATAAATCGATTGAGAGAAAACAAATCCGGGTTACAAACTAAAACCGTGAGAAACACATCAACTATAAGAGGAAAACAAAGGAACAACAGGAACACTGAAGTGCAACAAAAACAAACGCCAACATACATAGAAACGAACTATTTGAAAACAACTGCCATATTCCTGATTTGGTACAGGAAACACGTAATAAATTTAAGTATCCGCGAAAATAAGTTAGTTTATAGTATTTTGACTATCTCTTACGTAGCAGCTATATATATAGGATGACATTTGCCACGATAAAAATAGTAAAGAGCAATCAAACAATAGTTGCATCAAACGAGGATACAAACATAGTCATAAAAAGTTAAATCACAAAAATACTGACCTCCGAGGAAAATTCAAAACGGAAAGTCCCTAATCAAATGGCAAAATCAATAACACAAACACATCAAACGAATGGACAACAACTGTCATATTCCTGACTTGGTACAGGCATTTTCTTATGTAGAAAATGGTGGGTTGTACCTGGTTTTATAGCGCTAAACCTCTCACTTGTATGACAGTCGCATCAAATTCCAGAGATATAGCACACTTATAATGAAAAATTTAAAACGAGAGTTTCGTCTACATTATACTACTACTAAGTAGTATTCGAATTAAAACAGTTGCAAAAAAATTATAAAAAAAACAAGTTGTACTATGAAAAAGGATTTTAAACCAATAATAATTAAAAAAAAACCCAATCTATGCCTGGTGTAAACAACTTTCTGTTTTGAATAAGTTCAACATTTTATATTAATCAAATACTAGGCTACAATTCACGACGCTAAGCGTGTGCGAACGTCATTATACGAATTCAAAATGAATAAGTATATAAATTTGTATTTTTATAGAGTACTTGGCTTGGGCAGAAAATTACTCAACAGAAAAAGACTTAGTAAAATACCTGATAAGAAAAGTTGGTACTGAAATAGACATACGTAATAGACAACGACTTTTTATAATTCTTGATATGATCCATAATGTTGATACCCCAAACTTAAAAAAAATATAAAAAAAAAGTTTAGCAGAAGGACTGGATTTGCCAGGTAGTGACTTAGATGTAATGTATGTCGCTAATGAAGTACATGGAGATATAGAGAATGTACGGAATATCAAACTCAAAGAACAAAGTACTATACTGGTTATGGAGACATCAATTGAGCATCCCGGATTTACTAGACTCAGATTCATTGCAATAGGGGAAACAGAAATTGTATTTGTTACAAATACTGGAAAAGACTTATATTTTTCGGTCAACGTTTTTTTGGATACAGTGAAGTCAATACTTGGGAATTTCAATCTTTCTCAACATGGCCCTTGTCTATCAGATCCAAATCAAACTTTTGATTTAGCATTCTGCTTACGAAGTAAATATATACCCAACAATGTAATTCCATGGGCAATGCGTCACCGAAAGCAATGGCCCCCTAATTTCGTAATTGACAAGATTAAAAATAGCGGATGTTTGTTAGTACCCATAGGACCTAAGATCGGGTCAGGCTGTAATTTATTATGGCGAATATCTTTCTCTGTTGCAGAAAAACTACTTGTTCATTCGTTTAACTTCACTCAACTCTTATGTTATGGTCTTCTCAAATTAACATTAAAGCGTATCGTTAACACGAATGAAAATGTCAAAGATTTATTGTGTTCTTACTTTTTGAAGACGGCTTTATTCTGGGTCTCAGAGGAGGTCAATTTAGAAATGTTTCAATTACCCAAATTATATATTTGTTTTTCTCTCTGCCTTGATAAATTATTGTTATGGGTAAACAGCTGTTATTGTCCGAATTTCTTTATACCTGAACACAACATGTTCCTTGGAAAGATCGATCAGAGTAATAATAAAATACTGCTCAGTGTAATAAAAAGTATTAAATATGGTGGAATTGGTGGGTTGATGACAAATTTAGTTTCGGCTGACAATGGAAATCATCGTTTATTAAGAATAAAGGATGAAACTTCGTTCATCATGTTAGACTTTTTATTTTACAGGATTTGTGGATCGTATATGGCGCCAATATATTCACGTTTTTATGAAGTATTGGCGTTTATTGAATCTTTACTAATGTATGAACAATCTGCATGTATTATTGGGGTGTGTAATCATTATAAGGCTAGAATCAATCAATTTGCAGCACAAATACGACCACTACCAACCACAGTAAATAAAGAGTACTACATGCACAAACGTTATCATAGACATTTACAAGACGGTACAATGACAGATGCCGTGTCAGGTTGGTTGTTATACGCGTCATATTATTATGTGACAGGTCAGCACAAAGTTACACTTGAACTAACAGACTATATTCTATCACGATGTACACCGGATATGATTCCTATAGGCTGTAACGAATATGACGAATGTGATGCATATTACTACAGAAAAAATGTTCATTCCACATTGACATTAATTGAAAGGATGAAAATGGCAGCTGAAGAAAGTGTTTGTTACATGCAACACTCATCATTAATACCAGGAGAACTACAACTGGAGGTTCAAGATAGGGATATTGATATACCGGTCATTGTAATGTCTCACAGTCTTAGATTCCTATGCTATCATCATTTTGGTGATAGGTCAAATAAAAAACAAGCATTACGCGATTTACATTTAACATTAGAAGATCAACATAATATTCTACCAGGTAAATTATCAGAATCATTTACAATACTTGGTGTATGTTATGAGATATCTGGTGATAGAGACAAAGCCTTTCAGTTGTATGATAAAGCTCTGCAATGCGTTGTTTGTGTATGTGTCACAGCGGAAAAAAGGAAATCAAAACTTTTGGAGATTTGATATAGATCTTGTTTTAATAAAAGAGATGATTTAACCTTTCCTATTGTTAATTATCCGTTTTTAGATGGTTACGTTCTCTTAGCACCATCGTATGGTGTTCATATATCTCAACTTGTTTCGAATAATTACACCAGGGTTTTCGATATCACAAACTTGATAAAACTTTTACTAAGTTCCATCATCGGTACAAGGACATCATTCGTAAATATAAATCTACGTACAGACATATTATACGTTCAGGTTTTTTTCATCCCGTCTTTTTATGGTAATATTCTATACAAAGCACAAACACTGTCGTCATTCACCCAAAAAGCTACCCAAACAGACTTATTCACAAGGGATATAGTTACGATTATGTTGTCAAGTCATTAAAGATGGTTTTTTTTTTCAATTAATATTGATTCACTCAAAGGTTCTTTGCATCTGAAATAATAAACACATTTACTCCAAAACCAGGTGTTGACATGATACGGGTTATGTTCTTCTCGTATAATTTATGATGACGTGATATTATACACCTAACGGGAGAAATTGTGGTTGATTTTCATATGATGTAGACATAATCGTTTGATCAGTTTGATTGAGGTCTGGAGCTGGCATGTCAATAACTGCTAGTAGTCCTTTGTTAATGTATGTTGATTATTGTCAATTTGCTTAGTTTTTTTTTCTGTTACCTATATTTCACATCGGACTCGGACTTCCTTTGAACTGCGTTTTACTGTGCGTATTGTCGTGTTTTTCTTTATTCCAAATTGACTAGCGGTAAAAGGGTTACGTAGTATTATAGAATTGATAAGAAGTAGCGGATTCGTAAACAATAATCAACGAGCGACTTTAGAAAAGAAAATTGAAAGTCCTTGTAAGTTCAAAGTGACAAGTGTAATGGGCATATGGATGTTTATTTTATCAAGGAATTGAACTCATATATACAATTCCTTGATTTTATAGTGGCTACAACTATTGTGTAATAGCCACAATCGTATGAAGTTTCAGTTCATTATAACGATGTTAAAAATCGACCAATGTTAAAATCTGACATTCGGAATAAACTCTTTTTTATGATTGTAAAGAAAATGTTTTATTTATTTTTTCTCTTGTATCGGTGTCGTTCTATATTTTGATATTGCTATATAATTATACTCAAGAACGTTCAAATGTCGAACATAATCTTCCTTTAAAAAATAACAACCAAAATAAAATAAATCAAAATAATTTGAAAAGAACATGAACAAACCAAGACATAATGTTTATTTCATAGACTACAGAAGCTAAATAAGTTATCAACGAGTTTATTTTCATGAATTAACAATTAAACGCTTTAAGAGTATAATTTAAATATTGATTTATGTCAGCACTCGTGGTTTAGTGGTATCATGCATAGAGTGAAAACTGTAATGATTTACGATGAAAATACGCACGAGTTCGAACCCTTCATATGAAACTCGTTTTTGAGAGGATTTAAGATCGTAAGTTACAAGTTATAATATAAGTTATGTTAAGTTAACACAGTGGTCAGTGGATTCTTAAAAAATAATCTACTGATAAAACAATAGACTGACGTCAGAGAAATGGTTTATGGGTTGAGATCTCACAAAACAAGTTTAGTCCCGCCGTATTGTAGCGCCTGTCCCAGGTCAGAAATAATGACCAATGACGAGGTTCCTAACAACTTTTATTAAACCCATGCATCGATATGAGATGTAAAGTTAAAATAACACATACTTATGTATATTTGCGGCATCGCACTAAAACGTTCCTGTCGATATATTACCTACATGGTTATATTGTATCAGCAGATTCATATGTAATTTTTCGAAAAAATGATTTTCTACCCCAGGAATAACCTTCGCTGTACTTTACAAAACCTTCCGGAATTTTGGATCCTCAAGGATCTCCAACTTCTTACTTAATTGACTCTTTAACTTTTTTGATTTGAGCGTCACTGATGAGTCTTTTGTAGACGAATCGCACGTCTGACGTACAAAATTTTAATCCTGGTATCTATGATGAGTTTATATATAACCTATATGTGTTACCAAAGCAGATATCTTAACTTTTGACACAGAATTAATAAATTGTTACTTAGCTGAAACATGAACAAGTTCACCGTACTTAAATAATAAGAAAACGTCTACACTTATAAATATAACATATGCGATTTTCTGAAACAAAACTGGCCCTCAAATTTGTAAAAGAGAGTAAACACGACAGTTTTCATAAAATGGTTCGTACTTCTGAAATTAATTGATTGCTTTTCTGTCATGTAAGAGTATTTCATAGATTATTACTAGCAATAGATTCTGTGTCAAGTGATCAAGGTCGGCAAAATATGTTTAGAGCAATCCTTTCGCCTTAAAAATTGTTCAGTTATTATCAGTACAAAAGGAAAAAGAACAATGTATTAGTTTGCGTAATTGATAAATGTTATGTTTCATGTTTTTCTTTGTTGACATATTTGTTTGTTTTATAGTGATTGAGACTATAACCCCTATTTTTGACACTTTTACCTATTCTGTCTGTTTGTTTTGTTCACACATTGTTGTCAATACAATACAATTATATGCGACTGTCATACAAGTGAGAGGTTTAGCTAGCTTTAAAACCAGGTTTAATCTACCATTTTCTACATAAGGAAATGCTTGTACCAAGTCAATAATATGACAGTTGTTTTCCATTCGTTTGATGTGTTTGAGCTTTTGATTTTGCCAATTGTTAAGGGTCTTTCTGTTTTTGAATTCTCCTTGGAGTTCGGTATTTTTGTTGTTTTACCTTTCCGCTACTGTTATTAAACAATTGTATATAAATATTATTCGCTATCTATTACTGTTAATACATAAAATTGAGAATGGAAATGGGGAATGTACATGCATGTGTGTATAGACATTTCATTTGTATTTTGTAATATGCTGATGAGCAGTATTGGTTTTTGGGAATAAGACTATTATTATAGTATCATTCTAAATTTTAAATTTTAACAGTGATTCTGGAAATTGCCTCGTTTAGCTTGGTTTGGTTAAACCATTTTTTTGTTTATAGCTATGCACTGTAGGTGTTTTTTGTACTTATTACACTACTGCTATCATTGCAATTTACACTGGTTTTGTTGTGGTTTAAATAAAAGTATAGAAGTTTCAAATAGGCTTGATCTATTTCATTGTGATGCTTGTCGCAGACTTTCAGAATGTTGACTTGTTCAGACATTGCCTCAGCATGATCTATATATGGGGTAAACGATTTATTTTATTTCATCTTTCCTTGTGGCTTAGCTGACCCCTTCCGGGCCAAGCTTTTGTATTCTGTATTATTCTTTTATCGTTTTATGTTTTTCTTTCATTTTCATCTTGTTGGACAAATGTATATATTTATATATATATATATATATATACAACTCGTCTAAACATCAGCCCAACAATGTTAGATCTGTAAATTTGCTTTCGCAAATTTTTTGTTCTTCCCTCGCCATTATTTTTACTTATTCAGAGTAAAATTGTTTCTCATAAAAAAATAAACAATATATATATAATATCGCATGTAACATCGACATGAAAGAATTATTTCTTAATTTTACCGCAATTCTGAAGTGTGATCCTTCATTGCCATCAAGAAAAATTGCTACTGGTTGTGATACAATTTGAATTCAATATATACGGCAGAAACTGTTAAAAAGGCAGAAGAATCAAGAGGGATATTCAAACTCATAAGTAGAAGAAAATCTGGCAATGACATGGCTAAACAGAAACGATCCGAAGACAAAAAACAGTGAAAAACACAACATAGAATACTAAAGACTGAGCAACACTAACCTACCCAGGAGAGCGGGGATACTCTCAGTTGATCCCGAAGGGTAAGCAGATTCTGCTCTACATGTTGTCATATCTCTTTAAGAGAATGAAACATAAAGCAAAAGATATATAATTTCAAGATCCTAATCTATATAATGAGTTTTCTATCAACAATGTTCTTTTACCTTTGATATTATAGCAGATCAAATCGATGTTACCTGCCCTATAAACACGTAAAAGCAAATATCAAATCTTTTATACTTAAACACAACACTTATAACTATTTTTGGTATTGGTATATCATGATCACTTTGTTTTTGTTTCATGTGTACGATGTGATTCATTTTATCTTTTTACCTCATCTTCATGTTGTCAATGAAAATATTAATGTGAAGTCTAGAACTACAATTCCTCAGTTGGACGCTACTTAAGAAGAATTACACACATCATGATAATTACTATAAAAATGGATTTGTTTCTAGTATATTTCAAGAGGAATCGTGAGCTTAGATGAAAAAAAATAAGAAATAAGAGAAAATAAAACAAAACCGGACGTAATTATGTAATAGTCTAAATAAGCATTTAAACCATCTATAGTAAGTAATTTTTTTTTACAAAGGAAAACTTATTTTCTTAATGAATTAACGACATTGAGTTTGAGACAGTTAGGCAGTAGACATCAACCAAACGACACAAAAAAAGATATCTTGATTTCAACAAAGGTATTCAACCATTGATAGTTTTCATAAATCGATTCTGACACTATATTGATGAATTGTGTCATGTATGGAAAACGAATCATCTGTTAAAACTCATCAAAGGTAAAAATATGTAAAAAATTAAAACAAACTTTTCGAAGACATTTAAAACATAAAAGATTATTTTTTAGTCAATTCTGAGATACATGTACGAGCTGTTGAAGTTAAAAGCCACGATACGTCAAAAATACATAACATATATAGGGAAAATCATGGTTTTCGACAGGTACTTTTACATTTTGAAGATATTTTGTTTTGATAGCCCACAGATATATTTTCAAATAATATACGATTTGAAAAAGAACGACGAATCGATTGATGCAAACGTGCTAGTTTTTAAGAATGAAAATGTTCGGAGACGTTATATTGATGTATACGTTAACAAATACACAAGAACAATAACAAAACACGCTCAGGTTACTAAAATACTTATAAAAATAAGGAGATGTGGTATAATAGC